CACAAGATGGAGTTGTGGTTAGTCCAGTTGCCTTGACAACCCCCGTTCTTGAATTTGGCGCCAAAGAAGGAGCGTCGAGGGATACCTGCAGGATGCTCTACGTTAGCCAATCAGAACAGAATAGTCCGGCATTGCGTCATTTTTTCCTCGTTTCGCTTTGGTACACCAACAAGGCTCTGACATAAAACTAAGAAGTAAAACATATTTTGCCAACAGGCTGTTCTTAGTTTTCACTTCAGAATTCTTTGAATAATTATCATATATGGTTGAAAAATAACGCAAATTCTCAATAGTTTTTGTGATTCGCATTTGAGAAACAAGCCCAGTGCAGGATGTGCAGTGATCCAAAATTTCAACATACTTTTCCTCCATGTGTCAACATGAAAATCTTCAATGAAGATTAACGCCACTTATGTCAAAAATAAGTAAAAATAACAGCTTTGTAGAATTGGTAAGTTTGTTAGTGTTTTAAACAAGCAAACCAACAGCCATTCAATAAAAGCTTCGTATCTCTACGAAGTCAATCAGTCGATCAGGTGTTTCCCCATCCTCGTTCCCAGAGCTCCTCGTTTTTTTTCATTGCGCCGTAAACGAGTAGCCCTGGTCGCAAGGAAAAAATCGAATTTTTTCATTGGCTGATAAACAATGAATGCGCAACACGAATTAATGAATGGCTGAGATCGCCCACCACGTGACCAAAAGAAACAGAGGATCTGGGAACGAGAATGGTGTTTCCCAGTCAAAACGACAGGGTTGAATAACGTCTGCGCATGCCCCAAGCTCTTGCCAGGAAACCAGAGCAACAACATAGGTAAAATGGCGGGATTTTCAAAAATATAGCCTGTTCCAGGCGTTCGGATAGTGGAGGAGAGACGCGAAAAGACGCGCGAAGCGCGAGGAGAGGGCGCCCCTCTCCCCAATCCCCACGCCTATTATTTACTCGCCACTTTTCGCGCGTCTTTTCGCGTCTTTCCCCCACTATCCGAACGCCTGGAACTGAGCTATCAAAAATACGAAACACTGCAAAGGTTTTCGCCTAGAATAAGAGTTTGCCTGTAAACTTAAGTTTTAAAATCTTGCAGTGGATCCGCCTGTTACTGAGTGAAAACATATCTTTTGAACATCAGGGTTTCTTTTCGGAACACCCGCTGAAAAATAGCCACGAAGCGCCCCACGAAGCCAGAGTCCGCGAAAATGCAGAAACGAAGCAGTAATGTTATACTCAAGTTTTCTCGCATTCCACGGCGTTTCGTGGCGAAAAATCTTCGATGTAAACTTTGAAGTGTTCAAATTATTATTTGCGAAAGTAGGAAAAGGAAATATTCCCGTTTTGGTGCGGAAATAAAAGACATTTATCTCTCCTTGCCATCGTGTTTCAAAATGACGAAAGAACCACACACCAACACGTTCGCGCCAATGTGCTATTCAGCTTCACTATTCAGCTGTCATGACATCCCGCACATGCGTATACGTTATTCAGCCCTGTCAGATCAAAACTGCTTCCTGCGTCCTCGTGTTTACAATTTCCTTTACAAGTTCCTTATTCTCCCACACTTCATATATGTTTAGTTAAGGCTTCACTGCATGAAACGGTCTATTGCACGGGTCATAGCATTTAATCAGATTGTTGTGTTTTTCAACTTTTATATCCAAAACTATTGTCATGTTCCTGCGTGTCAAACAGATGTTTTCGCCAGCGGAAGGAAAAACCCTGCTTATGTCCTAAAACAAAATGTAACATTAATGCATTGCTGAGGTACAGAGCTCACGCCGGAAGGATCCTAAAACCTAAAACTCAGCCGAAACTATTTCAAATTGCCTGGATTAGATTCACTTTGTCTCTGAAATTAAAAGGACGCACGAAAACTGACATACAATTAGTAATTAAGCGGTGTCCGTATTTTCATAAGTTTAAAACAAGCTGCCTAGTATAGAAAAACAATAAACAATTTGTGATCATTATGCAGGTAACATAGCTTTTCTAATATCATGAATCAAATGAACTGTTTTCTATCAAATTCCACTGTTAAAAAGCGTGGGAAAACGAGAAATCTCGAAACTGTAACAGGTACCCTTATTTTCGTGCGCTCAGCTAGCAGCAAAACACACGTGTAGCTAAACGGTCGAACTTGCAACGCCGAGGAATGCCAAAACGGGTAAAAAAAAAACATCAAAACAAACTCTAAACGTACACGGAAAGGTCAACTGGTGCCTTTATTTATTGAGACATGTGCTTGTACGTACGTATGCTCAAAGATTAAGTGAATGGTTGAATCAGTTTAATGACTAAACTAGTCCTAAGCCATCTGTCGTTTATTGATGTTATGTAGTCTTCCGTGTTGTTTACATCCTGTTTTGTTTTTGTTTTACCCATTCGCACCAATATTCGGTTTAATTTCGCAAAAGGCTTTCAAAACGATCCTGTATAGTCTGTATAAAATTTTGCGGGAAATACTTTCGAGAATCGGGAGCAACGAAAGTAACATATGCCTTTCCTATTTCGCGCGTAAACTTAATTTTCGCGCAATCTTTAATAACGACCTGCGAAACTCTCGCGAAAATTGATGGCGTTTGGGTATCATTTTATTTAAAACTTCAGTCTGTGCTTTCATAGTTCAATTAAAAAAATGAGGTTAATTATAACAAGTTCAAAGAACTTTCAAAAGAAAACTAGCTGACAGAAGATCGCACCGACTCCCAATCGAACGTCTTTCAGTAGCTTTAGTCAGTTGAAAAGCAAATTTCAACAACGCTCTGTAGATCGGTATTAAAATTATTCAACCTGAAAGATTGAGTATGTTCCGTATGATACTGAAACAAACAGGAAATTTCGTGTGTGTATAACCCTCCTTCACCCGCAGTATCTGTTTGACCACGAGTAGGTACTGCTATGGACATAATGCGACGGAAAGAACCGTGTAATTACTACAACAATAAATCTGTGTAAGGTTCTTAGCACTCAGAATCGCGCGCAGTTTTGTAGTCTTAAGGATCTAACTACTACATAAAAATTCCTCGCACGTTTTTTCAACTCATTCTGATCGAGTTTTAGTTTTGTTTAGCAATAAAGTCATAGAATACAATTTTTTTTAAATATAATTACATTGCTCATTTCAAGCCACCAGCAGGACCTGCTCAGTCATCGTGCCGCAGTTGAACACGTGTACCTTGAAATGGACGGCGTTCCCGCGATACCTGTCATACCTGTTGATCACGTTTAATTGATCAGATGTTCTGGAACACTTGTTTTCCATAGCTGTACTTTATTAGCGTAAGTGTACGGCTGGTACCCGCCAGAAAAAAATATGCATGAAGTAGCGGTTCTTCATTAATGTTTGTCAATGGCTATCGATATGTGAGCACACGCGGCATGGATCTCTTTTACGATAGGTTTCGTGATCAATCACTTCGCATCATTATCGTAGATGAATGGCCACTAATACAAACTGAAAGACAACTGATTACTTTACATTAGAGCGGTTTTCAATTGAGCGTCGTAAAACCAAACCTAAATTAATTACAGTGGTCAATCACAATAAACAGAAACAACACAATGAACCAACGAGAGCTCAAAACAATTACACGCAACCGGCGCCAAGCGCGGGAAAACGCGCGCGATTGGTTTTGGTTTTGAATCTGATTGGTTGAGTAGGTGGCACGAGATTTTTTTAAGCATTCATAGAGCGAAGTAAAGCAAAGCCAAAGCAATTCCGGATTACTTTCGACACTCAGTTGAAATTACGTATTGTCATCTGTCATTGTACTTGATAAAACCCGAATATAACGCGCCTCTTGATTGTTTGATCAAATGACGTCACGTTATATTTTATTTTATGAAGCCACCTTGTGTTTACTTAAAAACTCAGCTAAGCACAACTTGCGAGTTCTCTCAAACATCTGCTCATTTAAATTTCCATCACGCGATCGCTTTCTAACGAAGATATCAATATTTTTCGTAAGTTTGGAGTGCGCATTTCCTAGCTTTGATGATAACATGAAATTAACAAAAAATCCCGCGCCTCGCAGGTTTCAGTTCAGTCCCATCAGACAAGAATGGATTTTATTTTTATTAACCAATCAGAGCATCCGCAGCCTTTTGTAAAATATGACAGTGACGTCACAGCGCGCGTGGTTTATAGACGGATTTCAGTGCCGGATCCAAAAATAGGTGGTACTGCAAGGTTTTCCCTAGGTAGATTTGTCATTTGGAAGTGGTAAGTCTTCACTAAATATGATTTACTCAAATACACTAGCCAGCTGAAAGGATGGTGGGGGATAGAAGGGAAGAAAACTGGGAAGGGTGTATAAAAATAACATGGGGGGGAGTTGGCCGAAGTTAAGATGGTTGGGTGGATGAAGGGTGGGTCTTTTCTTTCTACCCTATTAAGATCCGGCATAAGTCAGGCAAGCTATGGGACTAGCATCCTATCCAGGGGGGGGGGGGGGGGGGGGGGTAGCAATACTAGTTGCTTCATGCTACTGAAACCGGGATAAACTCTGACAGTTGTAGGCCACAGCTGTAGGCCACTAGACTCGTGAAGACTTTACCTATACCTACCTATCTCTGTTTTATGTTCTCAATGAATTAAGACAATTACAATAAAGTTTTATAAAAAAACGTTGGTCGACAACGGCCTCACTTACGAAGTACTTAGTTTGCATGTTTGTACGATCGGGCCAATTCCAGATACAATTGCAATCAGGAGCCACAATATGGCTCCTGTTGTATCCTCTCTAAGGTAGACACCTTTCTTAGGTAGACACCTCTCTGAGGTAGACACCTCTCTGAGGTAGACACCTCTCTGAGGTAGACACCTCTCTGAGGTAGACATCTCTCTGAGGTAGACACCTCTCTAAGGTAGACACCTCTCTAAGGTAGACACCTCTCTAAGGTGGACACCTCTCTAAGGTAGCCACCTCTCTAAGGTAGACACTCTCTAAGGTAGACATCTCTCTGAGGTGGACACCTCTCTAAGGTGGACACCTCTCAAAGGCAGCGAGCATGGCCGAGTGGTTTTGGGCTCTGGTCTTGTAATCCGGAGGTCCACGGTTCAAGCACGCCAGTAGCAAGACTTGTTCTCGGTAGTCCCGATTTCAACTTCTCGGCTGCGTCAATGATTCTTATCTATGTTTAGTTTATTTGAAATATTTGTTTTACTGGACGTCAGGGGATGACTGACTGACTGACTGACAGTTGACTGACTGACTGACTGGCTGGCTGACGTCTGACTGACTGACTGACTGACTGACTGACTGACTGACTGACTGACTGACTGACTGACTGACTCACTCACTCACTCACTCACTCACTCACTCACTGACAGTTGTGCTGACTGACTGACTGACAGACTGACTGACTTACAGTTGTGCTGACTGACTGACTGACTGACTGACTGACTGACTGACTGACTGACTGACTGACTGACTGACTGACTGACTGACTGACTGACTGACTGACTGACTGACTGCATGCCTGACCTTCCGTATCAATAAAGCTTATTAAAAAGTGGACACCTCTCCAAGACGGACAACCATTCCTGCGAAATTTGGAGGTTGTTCCAAAACGGAACTGACTGACTGACTGACTGATTGACTGACTGACTGACTGATTGAATGACTGACTGACTGACTGACTGACTGACTGACTGACTGACTGACTGACGACTGACTGACTCACTCACTCACTCACTCACTCACTGACAGTTGTGCTGACTGACTGACAGACTGACTGACTGATAGTGTGCTGACTGCCTGCTGCCTGCTGACTGACTGACTGACTGACTGACTGACTGACTGACTGACCTTCCGTATCAATAAAGCTTATTAAAAAGTGGACACCTCTCCAAGACGGACAACCATTCCTGCGAAAATTTGGAGGTTGTTCCAAACGGAACTGGTCAAGGTCTATGCTTTTGATTTTAATTATTGACACTCTAACTTTTGAATGACTTTGAAAGCGCGCCTCCCATTATTATGTTACAGATGAGACCCTGGGAACGAGGTTGGCGTTTGACTTGATATCCAGCTGGACAGACGATGAAATTGAGGCTCAGACCTCATGAGAAAGCGTAGGAATCGAGCATAACTTTTCGTCAAGTTTCTTGACCCAGCACTAATTGGCGAGTTCATAATCCCGCGCTTCGAAAATAGTAATCCCAGATGACCGTTATAATCTTGATTTACATGTATCTCCATGTAAATAACAATGGATCTTAAAGAAAAAGCTTTTCGCTTCTAAAGCCCCGATCAAACGGTCTCAAAATTTGTTGAGAGATGTTGAGACCATGCCGTATCAAACGGCTTCAACATTTCGAGAACAAAAGAAATTTTGAGGCCTCAACATCAGCTCTCAACAAATGTTGAAACCGTTTAATCGAGGCTTAAGAAATGTTTTGTTTGATTCCCATTGTACAAAAGCTGCCGATAATCCAAAATCAAAGTCTGTTTAATTCCCCAAAAAATTTCAAATCATCCATTAGCTATGTCACGGTTCTTCTTTTGCACGTTAATCTTCGCAAACTCTAAGTTTGAGCGCATTGTTACTTCTTCTAACTCTTTTGTACAATTTTGGCTCCTATAGACAAACTGTTTGCGTACGGTTTCAATCGGGTGTGTATCTATTTTTGTTCATTTTGTTGTAGGACAAAAAGGCCCGCGTCTACAATCCTGTTAGCAAAATTACGGAAACCACAACAAAGAACGACAATTAGTTGTTTTAATCGGCACATTTTCGGCGTCTTCGGTCTCGCGCATTGGCGCGAGGAATTCATGAACAATAAGAAAAGAAGCGACGCCTGGTCGCAATATTAAATACCACAAGCTTATTAACCTGGCAACAAAATAATAACATGAAATAAGTAACACACTGCTCAAACAACAGTCAGCGTTGTGAATACATGCCTTTTTACAAATAAACCTCATAATATTCCCTTTTCAACTCGAAAACTGCAACAAAAAGGCTTACGGGAAGCGCGAATCCAGGCGAAAAGCCAAATATACCGCTATCAAGAGAATATTCTCTTGCCGCTATTTAATTAAAAACCAAAAATTCGCATATATACTAAGTGCTTTACTTACACATCACTTCGCTTGAAGCTTAATTAATTATAGCGTCCATTTATTAACATGAGCGAGAGAAGTTTGTTTTAAGGAGGCATTTTTGGCCTTTTGTACCGCGCGGCTTATAAACGCTCGTAGAACAAGGAAAAAAATTAATGCGCGTGGACCTCCATCGCATTAACACCCTATGAAAAGGCTTTCTGTTCTATATAAATTTAAGCGAACTGAAAACTGGATTTCAAGTAAACTGCCTTTTTAATTATTTGCCGCGGTTCTTGATGAAATTTTTGTTGGAAATAAAGTTATATCGTTTATAGCTGCGCGCGTGTCATTTTAAGTTGGTTTCCGACATGAAACTCATTACAAATTTTAAAATTTGACCGACATTCACATATGATGTAAAACTTGATTACTTGGTTTCTAGAGCTCCTCTTATCTTACAGCGTCGGTTTGAAAGAACAATAGTACTAAAGCAAACAAATTCAAACATGAAAAATAAACTATTTCTCTTTTTTTAAAAATGGCGCAATTAATAAGCTGAGTTACCCGCGTTGTTTTATTAGCATGTCACACATATATTTGCCTAAACACTTTTAATATCAGATCAAAGCAATATCAGATTATCTGGCTTAATTAAATGCCTCATCAGTATTATTAACGGTACCACCTCGGCTAAATTACTTGAAATGAGCGTGGTACGGAACTTAAATTGCCTTTGTAAAAGAGAAAAACAAAACCCGATAATTCGTTTAAAAGAACCTCTCAAAGAAACAAGTCAAATTAATTAAAAAGTTCGGGATATCACTTATGAAACGTTTTCCATACATGTAAACGCTCTTTGATATATTTATATCAAAGCGGTTTTGTATATTGAATCTTTTCCGTACTTCTGTATGCGCCAGATTTTAAACTATCGTGCGTTCTGGAACGAATTTTATTTCCTATAAATTGTCCGAGCTGGTATTTTGCGACGGGTGTATGTCGGCTTTGACAACTGTACCTGTGTGACTCGTGATCTTCGCTTAAGAGAAACACCTGATTCTTTGTCCGAATTCGTTCCCTGATCACCGCCACCTGCGCCCAAAAAACTGTTTAAACTGTAGCTCAATGGGCATTCGGTGAATCGTAATTAAGTTGGTAGGCCAGTGTTATGCTAATGAAGTAGATTGGCGCCTCGTGCAGGCCATTCAACTGTGTCAAACTCCATTGATGCGTGCACACAATGGCAGACGTCACAAAGAATACGTTAGAAACAACATTGGCTGTACTCTGTTGGATTGTCAAAACAGCCGCAAGCTCTTTAGCAGTGAAACGCAAGTTAGCCCATCGAGCACTAAAGAAAGGCACGTTTTCGAAGCTAATTGAGCTACGCCGCTTAGAAACCGTTCACAGCACCTAGGTGGAGCATTTGAAGTCGCCAGACGCGATATTTGCAGGGAAAAAGCTTGAAAACTTGCTTTCCCGCCTTTTTTAATTAGTCAGCAAGATTTTACTACGAAAGAAGTAAGGAAGGTGCGTGCATTTGACATCGATAGACGCGTGGCCAGTGAGTCGTGAACGACAAGAAAATGCCTTCAGCGAAGAGCCCGAGATCCGCGTCCTCTCATTCAGCCGATCAAAAACTGCTTCGAACCAAAGAGGTTGTCATCCATCGAAACTATGAGAAGAACAACAGTTGCCAATGCTGCGGAAAGCGACTTGTGGCTCTCCCAATGCTTGGATTTACGATCTTTTCCATTGGCTGTCTGCTCGGAATTGGTTACTTTAGCATCCATCGAGTAACGTCTTCTGCGTACCATACAGAAGGGCTCATACCGTCCTATGTAACGGGATCCGTGGTAAGTCGCATTGTTTCTTTAATATTCTCAATGAACATCAATTTTTTTAGCGGGCTCAGATATTTAAATGTATCAGCGACTATAATAGTTACAATTTATATAGCATAGCAATTTTGTTTTTCGTTTCGAGTTTATTCACCCAGAATTTGACTTGAATTAACTGAATTGAATTAACTGCCGCTGTCCGTGTTCGTTTATATACAACGGCAGCAATTTATTAATGAGCGTGCTTTTACGAGATTTCCCTGTTCACGAATTAACACCTGATGTTAGTTGAATATTCATTTAGCGAAATTAACTGAACGAAAGCAATAAATTAAATCGGGGGCTAAAAAAACGAGCAATGGAAATAACACAGAATTTTAATTTGACAGTTGTTAGCCGAGCTTGTATTTACGATGTGAAAATTTAAATCAGCAGTGAGCGGGTCAATTTTTGTCACGCCTTTCAATAGAACAACTAACGTATACTGCCACCATAAGTTTTTCTATACTACTCAGAAAAAGAAGAATTTATCTTTCTTTCAATGTGGTTTTTCGATGTAAAAAATGTTATTCATACGATGCATTTTTCGAAAGGATTACACAAAATTTGAACTAAAGTATATTAGTCACTAATGTCAACAGGAACAAGTGGCTGACGCTCATGCATATTCAAGGGGCTTAAATTTAGACAAGTTCCACATACCAAACGGCACTAGACTTTACATTCCTGAAGATTTCGAAGTTTAATCTTTTGGATTAGCTCGCGTTGCGACAGCGAAAAACGCTGCGCAGAAAAATGGCGGGAGAAAGAACTTTTTATTTTGCTTCGGAATTGATTTAAGTTTCGAAACAAACAAAAGAATCGGAGTGACTGTGGCGGCGCGTGCGTATATTGTGTTATTTGAACGGCAAATATATTGTAAAATGAAGTTCCTGCTGAGGAAAAGAAAAAACCTTGGCACCATATTGAAGTGTTTATCTGTTTAGCTCTTTGGCCAAATGCTTCCTTTGAAATTCATTGGTGATCGGTTTGTTAAAGTAAAAGAGTTTTTAGCACAATTCCATGGACACGTGCCAAGACTAATGGACAATTGTTCTCATGGAAAGAACGCGTGTGGGGCTCAATGATACACTTAAATGCTTTGTTTTCCCTTGTACAATATCACGCGCTTCTGTCGCTAAAAGCACTATTA